TGAAGGGTCTAGGCCCGAAACGTCAGCCTCTCTGCTCCTATGATGCTGCTTGGCCTGCTGTGTTCATCCAGCCCTGCACCTTGTTGTCTCGGATTCTCCAGCATCTGCAGTTCCTACTATCTCTGATGAATTTGTGAGAACTAGGTTGTGTCTAACCAGTCCAGTTTGTTACAAAGGAACCTACATTGGACTTCCAGCTTGGAACAACGAATGGAGTTGTTACTAGCGTTTCTACCCTCATTCACTCCTTTTGATGTTTTAGTGCTATACTTAGAAAATATCCAGAGATATATATTTGTGATGATGTCCAACTCTTCTCTCCTGCCTCCACACAAATTCCCATTCTTCTATCTTTCCCATTCTCAATGACTTTCTTATTCCCATGTTCTCAAATGCAAAAATTACAGAGTCAACACTCTCATTCATAAATAATCACATGATATTTCTTCTCTCCTTTGCCTCATCTACATTTTCAGCCCTTTAATCCTCTAATTCTGGCTCTTCCGTATGTCTATGGTTACTATCCACAATCAACTTCAGAGTTTTCAATGATCATTCCCCTTCTCCACAACCCCTTTCAACTTGCACTTTCTTGCATATTTAAGAATCTGCGTGCTGATCTTTTGAACAATGCTCTTCATCATCTCACCTAATGCTTCTCACTGCTCAGCTTCTGGTTTTCCTCTGTCAAGGATCTTGTGAAACTTTCTATATTAAAGGCACTAAATAGATGCAATTGTTATCCATTCTCATCCTTTATCTATCCTTTCAACCATTAACATGATATCAAAAATGCATCCATCTTTGCTCAATTTAAAATCAGAACACTTTAATAAATGTGCAAGGTAAAGTTCTACAGATACATTTTCATTACCTTGGCTCTCCCTTGATAGTTGAATGTGAGGACATACTCTCCTCGCTGGGTTTCACTCTGACGTACAAGAAAGACCCCATGACCCTCAGTTCCTGGAATCTGTACCAGCTGCGCTGCTTTAAATCTAGAGATCGGACCATGAAACCAGGCATAGGATGAGAACAGCCGGTCCGTCTTTTGGTAGGGCTGTTCTGTCGAGCAATGATGGGCAGCTCCTGAAACACAATTAAAAAAACAATTGTACCATTTTTGCAGAATATTAACACATCAGGGAGAGAATGGAGGAGAGGAATTCTTTTTGAATATTTTAGTAAATAAGTCAGACAATGTGAGCAAGACTGAATTTCCCATTTTTAAAGGTAAATATATTTAAAATATATAAAGGATAAATTTTCAGTTCACTTAGATTTTATTTGCTATAATCAATTTACTTAGTGGACTAACTTGTACCAAACATTCAATTTCTTTTAAGGAAAGATCTTTGAAATAATTCTGGTGCAATGACACCTGGAAAACCACAATTTCTTAGAGAATGGTTGAGTTCATATTTAATTGACTTGCTGGACCCTCTCAAAGATACTGTAACTGTGGTGAATAGGAAGAATGGAATTGGTATATTGTACCAAGAGTATCCACAAGGTTTCAACAAGATTCCAGATTAAAATAATGTCACAGAACTAGAGATAAAGAAACTGCCAAATTGTTAGGCTAAAAACAGACAGCTGAAAAGAGTTATGAAGTTAGAACTTAGCAGGCTACATTGAGGTTATAACCAAAGCACTGTATTCCATACCCTTTCTATTTTAATGTCTTGCTGACCTTACATTAAACATAATCTCCATGTTTGCTGTCAGGTTGACAAAAGATGAAGCGGCAGAGGGAGCAGTATTACTAATATCAGATTTCTGGAATTAGGAAGGTATGTTACGTTGTACTTGACTTCTTTGGTAAGGAGACATTGCAGTGATTATGAAAGCTATTAGCAAAAGCCAATCTGGTCAAGTTAAACATTATAGCAAATATTTCCAATGTCAGGGGCAGGAGGACTCAAGTCCACCTCCTTGACCTGACATAACCTGTCCATCTTCTTCCCCACCTATCTGCCCTATCTCGCTGACCTATCACCATCCCACCTACCTTTCCCCAGCCCCACCCATCCTCCCTCTCACCTCCCTGACCTGGCACAACTTGTCTGTCTTCCCTCCCACCTATCCGCCCCACCCATCACACTGACCAATCTCCACCATCCCCTACCTGCATTCACCTATCACCATTCCACCTACCTTTCCCCAGCACCACCCCTACTCTCTCTATTTATTACCCAGCTCCCTTCCCCCTCCCCATTTCTGAAGAAGAGTCCTGATCCAAAACGTCAACTTTCTTGCTCCTCTGATGCTGCATGACCTGCTCAAGACTGTGGTCAACAAAGAAAAGTCAGTAAACACTTTGATCTGATGTAATATTGTCCCAGCTTACTCAATAACTATTGCATCAACGATTATACTTCCAGTGATATTTAAATGCATCCATGATTGTTGAAGTACTAATGCTTTCTACCATTACCCTTTCTAAAGTTTCTCAAATTGACAACTGCTTCTGTGTAAGCCTAAATATTTTTAGACAAGGCAATTGATTAAGTGGAGAACTTGGCATTATGAGTCATAAGTCATAGTAGCAGGAGGAGACCATTTGGCCAAGCAAACTTGTTCCACTATTCTAAAAGTTCCTGGCTGATCTAAATGTGGCTTTAATTCCATTTGCCTGCCTATGCTCATAACCTTTCACTCCTTTGTAAATACAAGTCTGTCTCACTTGCCTTGAATGCAAAGGACACAGTGCTCAGTGGTTAGCACTGCTGTCTCACAGCGCCAGGGACCCCGGTTCGATTCCACCCTCGGGCGACTGTCTGTGTGGAGTTTGTACATTCTCACCTTGTCTGCATGGGTTTCCTCCGGTTTCCTCCCACGGTCACAAAGATGTGCAGGCTAGGTGGATTGGCCATGCTAAATTGCCCGTAGTGTTCAGGGATGTGTAGATTAGGTGGGTTCTCTGGTGACGGGTCTGGGTGGGATGCTCTGGGGGTTGGTGTGGAATTGTTGGGCCGGAAGGCCTATTTCCACGCTGTAGGGATTCTATGACTGTCTATGAATATTCAATGATCCAGCCTCCGCTGCTCTCTGTGGAAGGGTAGTTAAAAGACTAATAACCCTCAAAGGAAATTCTTAACTCCATCTAAAATGGAAGACCCTTTCTTTTCAAACATTGCCCCCAGTTCTAGATTTCTTCACAAGAGGAAATATCCTCTCAGCATCTACCTTATTAAGTCCCACCAGAATCTTACATGTTTCAATTAGATCAACTCTCATACTTCTAACTTCCAATGAGCAGAGGTCCAATCTACTTAACCATGTCTGGAATTTTTGGTGCAGTTTTGGTGTGCATTCAAAAGTTTCACTTACACTGGAGGAAAGAAAACAAAGGTTTCCTAGATTAGTCCCCGGAATCAAAGGCATGTGCTATGATGAGATTGCGTAAATTTAGCCTGTATCTCTGAAATTAAGAAGAATCAGAAACAACAAGATTCTGAAGGAATTTGTAAGGGTAGCTGCTGAGAGACTGTCTCCACTGGTTGAGGAATATAAAATGGGAGAGACAGTCTCCGGAAAAGGGGCTGATTATTTAAAACCATGAAGAGGAGAAATTACTTCACTCAAAAGGTTAGTGATTCGATGCAATTCTCTACCCCAGAGGGTTGTGGATGCTCCATTAATGAATAACTAAGTTTGGAACAGACAGATCGTTGGTCTCTCAAAAGGGAGTGTGTGGGGAATATGGATTTGAAGCCAGAAATCCAATATGACCATACTGAATAGTGTAACAGGCTTGAGGCCAATGATCTCTTTTTCCTATTTCATGTGTTTTTTTTGTCCCTCATATGATAACACAATCAACCTTGGAATTATATTGGTAAACATTAGTCAAATTATTTTCACTGCAAATATATTCCTCCTTGAGTAAGGAGATCAAAATGGTACACTGTAATCCAGATGTGGTTTCCCCAGCACCCTGTATATAATTGCAGCAAGACTTCTCTATTTATACATTCCATTCCCTTTTGAATAAAGGCCAACATTCCATTTGCATTCCTAATTACTTGCTGTATGTGCTTGCTATCTTTTTGTGACTCTTGGACAAGGTCCCCAGATCCTCTGTATCACAGCATTCTACAGTATCTCTCTCTCTCTCTGTTACACAATAATCTGCTTTTCCAATCTTTCTGCCAAATTGGACAAACACACATTTTCCCCACATTATACTAGACCTGCCAATCATTTGTATATTCATTTAACCTATCTATTTTTTTTTGCAGAATCTTTGCATCCTCATCACATCTTGCTTTCCTATCTAACTTTGCATCATAAACAAATTTGACTACAGTACAGTCAGTCTTTTCATCCAAGTTATTACTATAGAACGGAAATATCTGAGATTTCATCACTGCAATATTCCACTAGTTAAGATTTGCCAACTTGAATATGATGCATTTCTCCCCACTGTTTCCTGCTAGTTAGCCGAACCTCTACCCATGTTAACATATCAACCCTAACACCACAAGGTCTTATCTTGTGCAGTAATCTTTAATGTGGTATCTTATAAAGCATCTTTGGGAAATCCACATACGTTACATCTACTGGTTTCTTTTTATCTATCCTGCTTGTTGCATCCTTGAAGGACTCTAATAAATTTGAGAAACACAATTTCCCTTTCACAAAAATGCAGTGTTACATTTTTATGATTGTCCAATCTGTTGGGTCTATACCAGAATCCAGTAAACTTTGGAAGATTAAAAGTAAATTACCAACTAACTCTGCAGCTACCTCTTTCAAGACTTAGCATGCAGGTCACCAGATCCGGGGTATTTGCCAACCATAATCCGATTTAGTTTTCTTAGTACCTTTGTGATCATTACTATTTCAAGTTCCTCCCTAACTTTTGCTCCCTGATTTTCTACTGTTCTTTGGATGTATTTTGTATCACTTACTGTGAAGATGGATACAAAACACTTTTTTAATATCTCTGCCATTTCCATTTTTCTCCATTATTAATTCTCCAGTGTCAACCTATAAGAAATAAATGCTCACTTCTACTACTCTTTTATATACCTATAGAAGTTTGACTTCCATTGTTATACTTACTATTGCTCTCACACTCTGTTACTCCTTTTTTTTCCCAAAGTTATCCTTTGGTGGTTTCTAGAACTTTGCTGATCTTCTTGCCTATCACTATTTTTTGCAGCATTATATATCTTTTCTTTCAAGTTGATACCATTTCCCTAGTTTGTCACAGATAGGGCACCTTGTCAAAGTCTTCTCAGTGAAATATATCTTTGTCAAAACCTATGAACTATCCCTTTAAATGGCTGCCACTACTTCACCATTTTATCTTTTAATCATTTTTTACATTCCATTTTAATCAAATCTGTCTTCATAAAAACAAATGAAAGCAATTTATAAAAGAGTAAGACACCAGCGTCACACCCATTTTTCTCATCTTCAAACTGAATATGAAATTCTACAATGTTACAATTACTCCTGTCAAGAGGAACCTTTACAATAAGGTGATTAATTTATCTTGTCTCATACACATTACCAGGTCTGAAATAACCTAGTTGGTTCCAGAATGTATTGTTCTAAAAAAAACTGACCTGAATACACACTACAAACCCATATGCAAGTTATCTTTACCAATTTGATTCATCCAAACTCAATAAAGGTTAAACTCTTCACAGTACCTTTCTTACAAAACTCCATGTTTTCTTGATATATACCACAGGGCATATACTATCAGAGGACCTATAAACCATTCCCAGTGATACTTTCTTTGCTATTTCTTTACCCAAATTGATCTACGTTATATCCTCTGCAACATGATCAATTTTGATTACTGTACCAATGTCTAACCGAGATTTCCTAAAGGTCAACTGCAGAGTATCTTCCATTGCTGAGAAATTTCTCAATTGAATCAAATCATGACCCTTTCATCAAATCAAAATTTTGAAAAACCAAGGTAGAATCAAGGGTCACCAGACCTGAAACGTTAACTCTGTTTTTTCCTTCACAGATGCTGCCAGACCTGCTGAGCTTTTCCAGCAACTTTGTTTTTGTTCCTGATTTACAGCATCTTCAGTTCTTTCGGTTTTTATTTTGTGTAGAATCAAGTGATGGTTTGTCATGAAAGTTGCTTTATAAAGTACTGAATTATAATGTATTATTATGTTGATAAGGTACTGTGATATGTCATTTCAAGACTCCAAAGTCTAATTCATTAGAAATGAGGGTGAATCAATGAATATATTTTATATTGTTGGAGGGTTTGAAACTTTTTTCCTTTTATAAAGGTCTGAGAGAAACATACATTAAACAATGTGAAACATCTTCACTTTTAAAATTAATGCTCAAGGTGTACACATTACTGTCAATGTTTACTGTCCATCCGTAGTTACCCTGACAACTTAAGTAGATTGTTAGGCCACCTCAGTGAGCAATTAAGACTTAACCATATTGGCGTGGGACAGGAAATGCACATAATAAATTTAGAAATAGAAATGAAACACAGGCAAGTCTAAAGTTCCACCACAGCGTTTGAAAGCATTTACATTTATAAATAATTCAACTAAGAACACAAAATAGCCACACACAATTCTAAAACAAATCAATTCTCTGGAGTTTTTAAGCCGCTCAAGCAACCCCTCAGATCAGCAAACTAAAGTAGTCATTTTGAGATTTGTAGATGCCAGGCAAGATCAGAGACAACCACCCCAAGAATTTTGCTGCCTCAAGAGTCACCCAATCCTGCCCTACAAAACACAACACCCAGGCAGAATGGGAATACAATAAATTTTTAGATTTGCATTTAACATCAGCAGAAAATTAAAGTAATTTAAATCCTCAAAGACAGGAGAGAAAACACGTAAACAGAAAACAAAGTTATAAATTACAATTTAAGGAAGACAGGAAACTAATAATGTTACAATACAATTGGAGAGGGGGTCTATACATGATTCCACCCACTGTGATGTCTGAGGGGTATCATTAGACAGTCAAGAAATCAGTTAAGGGACATGTAAGCAGATGAATATACATCAATGCCTCAGTGCAGAGTGGTAATATGGGATTACGTTAGTGTTTTTAGAACTTCTCAACATTTGAATGCAATCTTCTGTAACCACTGAATGATATTATCTAAGAAAATTTGGCTAAAATTGCCTGTTACCTTGGTGTGCAGAATCTGTGCTTCCATCAACAGAGACTGTCTGTATGCTGTTAGAGTGGGGGGCAGCAAGCAGTTCCACATCAGCTCCATCAGACCTGCAATAAAACAAGTTGAAACACTTCATGCAGGTTTAATATTATCTTAGTTGCACTGCATTTCATGATATCTCTAAAACCTGAAGGATTCAAACAAATGGCCCTTTGGAGCAAATGGGAAATAGCATCATACAACATCTCATGGTTATCATATTTTTCAAATTTTCATTAATCATTATCTTTTAACAGCAGTTTTGGATTTTTCTCATTCCTAAACCTGCATGTGCTCACACCAGCTCAAATAAAGGGACAATTATTTCCCAGGACTTCTTAAATCAATATCAAGAAATCAAAACAAAACATTATACCTTTTTAGTGGAATTATATGATAAAATCTTCAGATTATTTGTATAAATAGTAGACAGACATTGCAGGTCGTAACCACTTATTGTGCTCAACGGATTATCCCTGTGAATAGCTGACTCTATCATGTCAGTAAGTGATCATGGCTGTTAACTTCCCTTTACTGATTTCTCCCGCTGCTATCTTTCTCCTGCTGCAGGTTCAATCACTACTTCCTTTTAGGCAAGGTGAGCTATTGGTTTACACTGACAATGATGCTTTTAAGATAAGTGATAAAAGAGCAGTAAAGGAAGATAACACATATTATTACATTGTTCCCAAAAATATTTTTATTCATAAAATCTCTAAAAATGCACAACAGTTCAAATTTGACATCAAAGTGCAATACAGATCAACTTCTTTTAATTTGGTACATAAGGCCCTCACTACACTTGCCATTACAGATTATATTTACATTGTACATTTCCATTTCACATCAAGCACTGTCTACTACGTACAGCTGGAGCGGTTCTACTTACGTTCCAGTCTCTTGCTATACGACATGTCCTTACCCCATTGAGCCACTGCAACGGCTCCTCCTTTGTGCAGTGTTATGCGGAAAAGACTGGAAAATAGCATTAAATGAAATGCTCATTTGGAGAGCGCGAATAGACGTATTGAGCAGAATGACGTTCTTTGGTGCTATAATATCTTACAATTCTGTGAAATTTTTGTTCATCTTTCAAAAAGCAGTTCTGGACATTCCAATATGCCAGTCTGCAGCACTGGATCATCAACAGCTCCTTGAACTGGAAGACTAGAAAGTCTCAGGCAAAACAAAGAGCTTCTTTCACCAATTTTTGGTCCTCCAATGACACCTAATGTCTGTCTCAATGTGCATTCCTTGGAACAACCCATGCAGCATTTAGTCAGTCCTATGATCGAGAGCTGGTAGGGATGGACTTGGACAAAAACTTCTGCAGCTATTTCAACATCTGCTGTAAAGAGACCTTCCAGAAAGGAGTAGTTAACGGTCTCTTTCTTACTGCAGCCATCTCGTGGGAATCTTGCAGACCTGGGATATCTGTGTGCAGGATGGATCCAACTGGGAAGGCCCATCTCACCCATTAGCTAAGCTTGTGTTTGTTTTGAGTCTTCCAAAAGGAGGCATTCTGCCAAAAAAACATTGACAATCTGCTCAGGAACGATTTAACAGGATTCACCATCTCCTCCTGTTCCACATGGATTTTAAATGCAGACCACTGCCTTATGGACTTCCTGCCCCTGGTGCTTTTCTGCACAAAGTTGTTCACATTTAGCACAGTAAGGCTGAGGGAAGCATTCTGTGGCATTGTGGTCAGACCTTATTGCTTTTGTTTGTGCCTATTCCCTCCTCCTGTTCCTTTTCCAAGAAAGCATGCGTCCTTAAATCTGCCCGTGTTTACAGTGGGGCACTACCAGGAGAAGCCTATAATAGGCTAGCACCCCTGATGCTCTGAAGTCTGCCAGGTGGATCCCAGTGCAACAGCAGCGATAAGTACATACTATATTCCTCTTTGAAGTGCAATAATTGTAACTGGAAAATAACTTTACATGCCAACAAGAAAAAGCCAGCATGGTCAACCTAAGCTGCTTCGAAGCTGTGTTGAGTAAAACTGGTGGATAGCTCCCAGCTGGAGCTATGTCCCAGGGATGCACCTTGGAATTATTTTTTGTGCTATCTCATTAACATTACAGTACCACTACTAAAAGCAGCAGGATCACATAAAGTGTACAGCAATGGCATTCTCACTATTTTTTAAACCCACAGTTATATTCTTCTTGCCCATAAAACAGCATTTAAAGCAGTCTCTCATTATATTTCTCATCAAAGACATATTATTGATTAACTTTGAAGAGGAATAATGTCTGACTAGCTTAGCAACAAAGCAAACCCCAAAACAAAGCCTCACTCACACTCCTCAACATTTGAGCTGTTGTATGGAATCAGCATACATGACAAAAAAATGAATGAATGTAGAAGTTTCTATTTAAAAATAGTGTCTTATTCTGATACACAAATACATTAATAACTAACAGAAAAATATTGTTTCTGTAACTCATTACTAATTGGATGTTTGAATTATTACTGTATCTCAATCATGAGCTGCCAAAATAAATACTGCACTTTACCAGTTCACATCACATTGGAAGACAACTGTCTACATTTCAATACACTGTGAACATGTGAAATAGGGGTTGGAAAAAGAAGCAAAGTAGTCAGGATATGGGTTACAGGCAATCTGTGCGTCAGTGGGATCTGGGCCAACTCAAACTATCATTAGTTTTCACACAGTTAGTCAGGAAATGTGAATCTAATTCATGGAAACATGAGGAAAGTGGCTGAGAGAAGACAGAGTGCAGAGTTCTGTAAATCTCACCATGATTAATTGCTGACACATTTCTCGGTATTTGAATAACAGGAAAAGCCTCTCACTGAGGCAATCAGGAGGCCCAGATGATACACAAACCCTGCAGGCCAACATGTGCTTCCTGAATTTCCTGTCATACAGGCAACTATTGTCACCATTGATCGAGATAACTGCAAAAAAAAATCTTTTTGTGTTTTTATTCCTTCATTTCACTCAATTTCTAATTCCAGATTTAAACATTGCACATTTTAAAAAATAAAAACAATATATTGTATTCTTTAGAAATTCTCGCTCATTTAAGTCATTTGTGTTTAACATTTCACTGCTGACGCTGACTGTAGATACTGGCCTGTAGTTAAACAGTGAAATACGGAAGTTATTAACAGGTACCAAGTTAATTCACATTCATGAAACTACTTGAAGTGGAGCAGTTAACTCACTGAAATGTAATGGTATTATTTTAACAATTTAGCTCAGGGTTAGACCAGGAGACCATAACACACAGGAACAGGAACAGGCCATTGAGCCTATCAACTGCTCCGCCATTCAATTAGATTACGGTTGATCTGACAATCCTCAACTCAACTTTCCTGCATCAAGCCTGTAACCCTCGACTCCCCTGCCAATTAAACATCTGTGTGTCTCAGCCTTAAATATAACCTAGCCTCGACAGCACTCTGTGATAAAGAGTTTCACAGATTCTTTACCCTCAGAATAAACAAAACCTCTTTGCTTATCTTAATTGGGCTGGTAAATGGGATTAGAATAGTTGGGTGCTTGTAATGACCAGTGTAAACTCAAAGGGCCGAAGGGTCCTTTTCTGTGCTGTAGACCACTATAATACCAGACCCACAACAGTAACCATGGGCTCAAATTTTATTATGTAGCCTTACATGCAGTCTCTTATTGAATGCCTTTTGCAAATCCAAATATATTACATTTACTATTTTGCCTTTATCTATCCTGCTTAGCACCTTCTCAAAGAAGTCAAATAAAATTGTTAGGCATGATTTTCCCTTCATGAAGACATAGCTACTCTGTACGTATTTCTTATGTATTTCTAACTGCTATTTTATTACATCTAATACTCTAATATTCTACAAATGACTGATGTTAAGCTAATTGGCTTATAGTTTCCTAATTTTTTGACTCCCTTTCATTTTGAAAATGTTGGCATTTTTTGATTGTATGGGTCTTTTCTAGTTTAAGGATTTTAAAATGTTTCTTACACTACAATTAAAAGAACGTTTCAATAAATCTCAATGTACTCAGAATCACTCCATGGATCTGATGGGTGAAGAGACTTTGCCTTCTGACAATTTCTTGAGTGATAGTGTGGACAATGATGGGACCCTTAGGTTTCAGCCTAAAAAAAAAATTCACATATAGGCTTCTATCAGCATTGTGATGGGGAATTGGTGACAGAGACTAGGCTAAGAACATGGAAGCCCTACACGTGCATACAAGCAACAGATGTACAAAGGCTGTTGGACATCTGTGTTGAGATAGAGACATCTTTGAGCAGCAGCATCTGTGACTGGCAAGTTCTCTTCAGTATACCTTCTACTTATCACAAATGGGGAAGAGGCGAGAAAAAGGTGCTCCACAAATAAGCTGTCCCTAACTTTCTCCTGGTCAGGAAGCTTCACCCTGCAGGTTACAATCTGTGTGGTCAAAGAAAGAAAACTAACTTTTACGATTTGGAATTTTAAAACATTCATCAGCAATCTCAAGGGTGATCATTCAGAAAAGGCAGCAATCTTATCTCGTGAATCATCAAGACTCTGAATTGACATAATTGCTCCCAGTGGAACCTGACTTTCACGTAGGGACAGCCGAATGAACAGTCAGTTGCAAACACCCTCCACTGGAAAACAAAGATTGACAGTGACTCTACTGTCCACGGAGTTGATTTTGTAACCTGAAATTGAATTCTAGGTGCACTTAGAGAATGAAAAACTGTAATCAACATACCCTGTTTGCTCTACTAGGCAGTTTGCATGGATTGTGTCTACTAACCAATGAGAAAAGTAGTCTATATTCTAGTTTGAATGTTATCTAGACAATAATTCTGAGTAATTCCCCAGATGAACTTCTCTTCTGTTTCAACTTTTTGAAATGTATATATCTTGTCCAATTGTTTCTAAAATTTTGGAGCTGCCTCTTCGAATTTTCAATCCCCTAGTTTTTTTTTATTTGCAATTCTAACCACTTCTAATTCCACGTCATTTATGTAAATGTGAAATAGTCCCATCACCAACAAAACCTGAAGTACCCCAATCCAAACTTCCCCCACAATTACATAAT